CTCCATCTGCTCCCATCTTCTAGCTCACACAGATAAAATTACATGCATAATAAAACCAACCCACACAGCTATGGGAGGAAAAAAAATGGATGAAATAAAAAAAGATTATTTCCATTCCAGTTTTTAATTTATCAAGGGAATACTCTATTCTCACTCACGATGCACTGTAGCACCATAAGGTCAACATTTCTACCACAACCGACTGTTCTTGGCCTGCATGCATGTGTGTATGTCTGTGTTTGAGCGTACAGGCTGAAGTGCTTAGTGCTAGTGCCCCTGTTCTCCTGTATTACTGTAAGGAACTGAAAACACACAGATACACACTCGGAGAGAGGGGAAGAGTACCTTTCCTCATGTTTCATGCGGTCGGAGAACACTTGATGAATTTGTTTTGCATCTTGCTGCGTTCAGGTTCTGCCAGGCTCACCGTGCGATAGGAAGTGAGTGATTTCAGCCCCTTTATCTGGACGCCCCTGCTGCTGATAGAAAACACAGCTTAAAGAGGGACACAGGGGATACGGGAGACGTTTACATGAAGCTATCGTTAAGTTTTCCCACAGTGAACCATATATATTGTAGTCAGAGCGGTTTTTAGTTTTCCTTTACATCGACATTGCAGGGTGTCTTTGAGGTCAGAGTCATTGTTGAATTTGTGCATTTTTTATTAGTTATTTGAGTTCAGATCTATTTTTTTCTTGCTTGAAATTTGGTATAATGACAGAAATCGTTTTTGATTGTATTATTTTTAGTATAACATGCAGATGGCCTGTTTTTGCATTGACCTGTAGATTCCATTTTCTTTTACTTGTCCATGTTGACTTGAATGCTCACGGGTAAATTGTATTCTTGACCTTGACAGCAGCAGGTCAAACAGGGAAAAAAAGGGAACATTTCCCCATAAGTTCCATTAATATGCTGAGGGAGCTTTTGAACACATTGCTTGATCTTCAACTGCATTAAAAAGAACAGGTCTGCAACCACAAAATCCTAAACCAAAGCTTGAAGATATCACAAATACATATTAACAACAATTAGTAAATCAGCTCAACCAAGCACTTGTTTGTATTATCTTCCATTATTAAAGAAGTCCCCAGTCCACTCGTACAAATATTGTTGTCTGTTGTTTACCCCGTCACCCACTTCATCACTCCTTCACCCACAGTGAGGTGACTGCAGCACCTTGACCCCTCTTGCTGTTTTTCTTCATTTCCTTGGGTTGAGGAGAGGGCCACACCAAATCCCCCTCTTTACAAGGGCCCCCCAAACACACACAAATACACACATATGCACATGTTCACAACAAAGTCAGGAATGTGGGGCCTGTTACCATTTAGTGCAGGTAGACCTAGATATGTCACATACACCCCTCTATAAAGAGGAGTGTGCACATGTTTTTGTGTGTGTTTGTGTGTTCCCTACATGCTTTAAGTTAGCCAAGTATGCTTTATGATCACACACATCCTGAAAACCTGCTTTGAAATGTCAAAGCCGTTACTCGGTAATCATGCTCGTGCTGGTGTGTTATGGATTTCTGTCAGACATGGGAACACCTGGACCATTTCATTCCCTTTGGTTTCATTAGCAGCTAATTCTTTTTTTTTTCTTGGAGTCTTTAGAATTTTCTCCTTGTCACCTCCTTTCTTGATTTTACTCTTATTTATTTAAAATTATTGCATGAACATTTCTATACAGAAAGTGCTTCTTTGAATAAAACTTCCTCTTCTAGTCTTTCATCCTACTTCTGCTCCTCCTGTCCTTCTTCACTGCCTCGCTCCCTTCACTTCGCCCCCTCCTCTCTCTCTACATAGCACATCCATGCAATAGAAGACACACAGTTGATGATATCTGTCTGTCTCTCTTTCATGTACACAAGCTCCGTCAGTTGTCAGCTGCAGCTATGACAGGCATCACTCTCATTGACGCGCCAATGTCTTATCACCCGGCTCGCTCACCTTCATACTGCCAGCCACCCTATCACTAGCTAGCTATCCCATAAGTCTATCAGAGCTAACCAGGTCTGCCTGGTACAGATAAAAACCTGCATTAGGGTAGATCTGCTGGTTGAGGGCGGTGTACATGCAAAAAAAAAAGAGAAGGATTTTTGTTGGAGGATTAGGAGTGACGTAGTAATAATGCTTTCTCATATACTGGATTCATGCAGGATTTATGAATATCTAGACGCATGACGCAGATGAGGAAAGTCAAGGATGGTTATAAAATCTCCTGGGTTGTTTGTGAATGTAAGTGAATTTTGGAAATAGGCCCCTCTAAAGGAATGTGCTTAAAGTTACTCTTCAACTTGTTTTACTCATTTAGTGCATACAATAGCAGATTTGATTTTTTTTTTTTTTTTTTTTTTTTTTACATTTCAGGGTCACTTCTCTCCAGAGAGCAACTGATTCATATATAATTTTACACCATTATTATCATCAACAATCCTGGAAGTAATAACAAACTTGGATGATCTTTGAGTTATAGTTATAAAAAGTCAGTGAAGTTAAATTTTAACAACAAAGCAACTGCTAGGAATAGAAGGTTGTTTTCTCACACTGCAGGTAATTCATCCACTAGACTCTGCCTGTGGCTTCACTCCTCATTATTCCCCCGCTCTTAAACTGTCTGCTTCGTCTCCATCCTCTCCTCCCTCCTCTACGTCTTTACTTAAGACAGTGTCTCTAATGTGTTTAAGGTCTGTTAATGTTACATTGTACATGTTGACAGACCATAGAGATGGGCTTTTCCTGAAAACACAAGCACTGCATCACTCTATGAGTCCATCCATCAAGCACTTAGCGGAAAACCGAGCAATACAAAGGAGACAACGAGAGAGCAGCATCGTCTCCCATCATCAGTGACTGCTGCATTGATTTTGTAGACGGAGCACACAGACACACACATTTACACTCAGACACACACATTTACATAAAAACGCATATAAACATAAACCTGTGAATTTATACATGTGTTAAAAACAGATTTATCCATGCCAATAACACCACAGGTGCTTGTAGATAATGATGAGAAACAGACATATGCACACACACAAACACACACACATGAACAATGTGCGCTTCCAAAAGAAGCTCCACACCCCCTGAAATGTACAGCACCCACAGTTAACCTGATAATTACATTGCAGTGCATGTTTCCAAGAGTTTCAGTTTGACAAACGTCCATCCATCTCTTCATTCGTTTAGTTTTTTACGTCCCATAATCCTTTGTTCTCTCCCTGGTCTCCATACTTCTGGTGCCCTTTCTTGGCTGCAGCGCCCGTGGTAAAAAAAAAATTGATTTGAGACGATTTATTACCTGTTGTTTTCACACATCACCTACTCCCACTCGCTTTTCTCCTGTGTCTCTCTCTTTCTCACTCCACTCACACGTTATTTTAGAAGGGCTGTTTGAAATGCATGATGAATCCAGAGATGACGACTAAAGTGAGAGAAAGATAGAAAATGAAATAAATAACTACAATGGAATTCAGACAGGAGGGGGAAAAAAAGTTTAATTAAGCAATGTTTAACCATTGTAAGTTGTTTTCTGATTCTGAAGTGGTTTTGAAATCTGAATGGACAAAAAAAGTGTGTGTGTGTGTGTGTGTGATCTAGACGTGAGCCATCCGTGAATGAAATGTATCCTTTGTTTACAGGCCCATTATCTAGATAATAACATCCAAATTTCCTCGCTTCTCCCGTGATCTATCACAGCCTGATGAGCTCTTTCTCTCCATCTTTGTGGCCTCCCTCTCTCTTACACACACACAACCTCTCTCTCTGTAAGTGTGTTTCAGTGTGTATGCACGTTCGCATCCATCAAAGCAGATATTAGTGTCTGAATATCTATTATCTTATGTGTGTGTGTGTGTGTCTGTTGTCATCTTATCATTTTCATCTATTCATGTGTGAATCTATTTGTCAGTGTATGTCTTCGGTGTGTTTGTGAAGGTGTGTGTGTGTGTTCAGTATCATTTTCCAGCCGTCCCTTCCTTGTCACTGTGTGCTGATAGCAGTGCGAGTCCACAAAGCTCAGTAATGGAGAGCTGATACTTTCCCTCCCCCCCCCGTTGCTCTGTGCTTTTCATTTGCTGCTGAGAAGACTTTGGCTCACAGCCATCCATACCAGCCAATCTGCTATCTTCTATCAGCACCAATACTTTCCATATCAGGGCAAATTATTCGCCAAAGTGCACAAAGAGAATCTCAGTGTGTGTGTGTGTATCTCTTGGCTTGCACTGAGAGAATAGTTGGATTTGTCTGCAGGTGTATTGCATGATCAAGTTTTCATTGTAATCCAAAGAGGGAGTCTCAATGTTCTTCTTTCTGGGCTTCATGCAGAACCACATTGTTTTCATACACACCACTTTTTGGTGATCACTTCAATGTTCAAAGTGTTGGGTGCTGAATTGAGATCATTTTCTTCTGTTGTAAAAACATCATTATCCATTCAATAAGGCTCCTTTTTCTGTACCTACCTCTGTAATCATGTCTGTGTTCACGATAATGATGCTACATTCAATACTTTTATTAACAACACCATTCAATTTAGCCTTTAGTCTGTCTGTCTTCTTAAAATGTGATTTATACTGGCTACAAGTATCATAAAAAACACCTTTGACAGCTGAGTTAAACTCAGGCTATTTCTTCCACAGGAGACACATACACAGAGACTATAATGTGTTTAATATTTGGTTTAGGGGAAACGTGCAATATGAGAAATGTTTGTGAATATTGCAAGGACAAGCACAAGAGATGTTAGAAAGCAAAGATTGATATTATGTCATTTTGTGGTGGGTCAGCATTTGACTGAACTATAGCTCAAGGAAAATGTTTCACATCTTTTTCAGTGTTATTTTATATGACACATGTTTTAGATAATGCCAAAAAAAATGCCTATTTCTAAGACAAAATTATTAAACGGGTATAATATTCCTATTTTTTGTTATTTCATAAGAATATTTGGTGTTTACACAGTTTGCTGACTGTTTCTTTGTATCTGTCTAGATCTTGGTGAACTCTGTGAGTCCCAATCGTCCAGCGGTGCTCTACGAGAAGGTGACTGTGAGCGAAGCAGGAAGTCCCTTACTGAGAGACATGCTGTTCAGCCCGGATCAGCAGACCATCTACACACTAACTGACAAACAGGTGAGCTCATTGTTTGAGATACGCACACATATATGAATATATATATATGAAGAAACAGGCGTACAGAAATGCCACATTACACATACAGTACAGTCTGTGCAGCTGCTGTGTGGGAACCAAATGACAACATAACACCTCACATAGAATTCATTAATTCATTAATGAAATAACTACATAATAACTTTATCCGTTTGCAGTAATGATGGGTGTGTGTAGACATCATGAGCCTCTTCATACAGCATGTGGTACAGGGCTAACAATGCCTTGTTAACACAAACGGCTCCAGCTACATATTTTTTTCAAACAAACATATAAATGCACAAACACACACAAAAATAATTATGTTGGATCGTATGTTGCAACAGTCTTTTTTGCAGTCTTGTGCCAACTGTCCAGAGCAGACCTCACCCCCATTAGCCGTTAGCTGCTGTATATCTTCACCCTCGCTCCCCCACTGTACAATCACAGCACATCTCGTCTCCCACTGCATGTAATTACACAGCAACGCACACAAACATTCACCAGCTACACATATTGCCACCATGACGGTTCGCTAATAATCAAGACATTTCCCACACACAGACATATAGGGAGTGTTATAGGTCACATGCGGTGCGTGTGTGTGTGTGCCTGCGGTCATTACCAGCCCAACCGCTGGTAAAGGCCGTGTCTACTTTGATGGTGAGTCGGGGGGGAGAGGAAGGAGAGGGGGGGAGGGGGAGGCGGAGGCGGGTATGTCGCATCTCTGTTGCTCCCCCAGGCCCAGCTGCTCCGAGTTTTTCTGTCTCATTAGTGCGGTGAGTGAAGGAAGCAGAGGTGGAGGGAGGGGGGAGACAGGAAAGCGAAGTTGTACATGATGTGAATATGTCAGTATTTAAAGATCTAAAACGGGCTTTGGGAAAAGATGGCCTGATTAAAAAGGGTGATAAACAGACTGTGTCTGGGGTCTGTTTTGTGAAAGTCTTTTGAGGTCAGAGTTGCTTCTGAAGCCGGCTGAACTAAAGCCTAGAGCCCCTTTTCTTCTATTTTAAGACAAAAGCCAATAGTTCATGACTGGAGCTTCAGTAATGGAATAAATGATCTGTGATGCATCCTTTTTGCAGATTCAGATGGTTATGATTTGAAATTAGAAGTATAGGTATTGCTATGATATCAGTGGTTCATTAATAAACAGTAAACAGATAAACAGATCAGTCCATCATTGATTAAAGATGTGCAAGAAGCTTGTCAAAATAACATGATCTTCAAACAGGAAGAAAAATGGGTAAGAAGTGGGTAATATAAGTAACCACGTAATTATGAAGTAAGCAATGAAGAATTTAAACAAATATGCATTTTACAAAGTTTTTCAAAGCCTATTCGTGAGCCAGATGCAAAGAACTTTGTGAATTCTCAGCTCAAACTCTATGCACAAAGACAGCAATATGAACAAGAAATATTTTCTGTAGATATACAGTAAGACCCTAAATAAATGTAAAACAAGTCATAGTTCTATTTTTTTAAATGATCATAAATATCACCTAAAAAAATGTTGGCAGGGCTACATTTTGACCAGCCTATAAGGAAGATGAATATTTCTCTTAGTCCGGCTCACTCAGAATTGTTTGCCTCAGTTTCCAGGTCAGTGTCGTCCTTTTGAATTTGGCATTTCCAATCATGCTGAATGGGCGCATGTCACTATGAATAAATCAGCTTTTGGCTTCAGCAATACAGCAAGGAGGCCAGTTGGAAATATCAATGGCTGCTAACACTTGCATTAAGTACACATGTTGTCTTCTTTCATTAAAAGTGAGGTTGTAGGAGGCACTGGCATATCAAATGATTGAGATGTGAGTTTTAAAGGCTGTCAATTTGATGTAAGGAGTGTAGGCAGCTCGCTACAGAGCAGTCAGTGTGGGAATGATTTTGACCCCATGGAGCAGGTTTGTGAGTGCTGGGATTTGTTGTTATAAGAATGAGGAATATGATGACACTCGGTACGTTTACATTCACAGTACAGCGCAATTAGACTACTGTCTATGTCCCATTATACAAGCACCAAAGGGAGAACTTATTATTATTTTTTTACTAAAGTATGTATGAGAGGTGCTACAACAGGTGGCGAAACACCCCTTTCAGCTGGTAACTATTGGACCTTCTTCCGGTTGAACACATAACATTTATTCTGAGCATTTATACTTCTGGGTTTAAGCCCAGCTCTTAAACTGTGGAGCATGTGCAGGATGTTTTTAGCCAGTTTGGGGCCAATTGAAGTGTAACTGTAACATGCAAGAGAAACCCCCTAACAGCATTATCTGGTGTGTTAGTCCAACAGTCAGGCTAACGTGTACCTGTATTTTAAAAGTCCAGTCATGAATGGACAATTGAATCAACTTTAAAGAGGTCATATTATGCCCTTTTTGGGGTTCATATATTTAATCTATGTACCTACTAAAGTATGTTCACAATAGCTAAAGTTCTAAAGTGTCTGTTTTCATGTACTGCTGCTCCATGCACCGGCTCGCTTCTGACTCTCTCTAAGGCTCTGAAGTGCCCACGTTCAGAGTCCCCACGTGTACCAAGTCTGATCTGATTGGTCGGCCTGTTGGCTCTGCCGTAATTGGTCAGTCGCTCAGCCACTCTGGCTCCAAGGGCCGGGGAGCAAAAACATTAGCGCCTTAACACTACTGTGCTACCGCAGGCTACGGCATATCGTGGGCGTGCTACAGAAGTTAACGAGCACACAACATGAGCTGCAGGGCTTGCCACAACGAGCCAATGGGCTTAGATCAGTGATCTCACACTGACAAGACGTCACACTGGCAAAACATTTTCGAGGGGGGCTAGAACCGAGCGTTTCATGCGGCTAATGCTACAGCTAACAGGAGGACGTAGGAGAAGCTGCGTTTCCGCGGACTTTGAATTTTTGCACATAGATGTGCCTAAACATGCACAGAAGACATGGAAAACACACTGAAGAGCATATAAAACCAGAAAAAGCATAATATGGGACCTTTAAACTTCATGAAAAACATACTCACTGAATATGTTGTCCAGCAATATGCCGCAACAATTTAAAAAGTGTAACACACACTGAGGTTGTACCTGTGTGAGTTTTTCTTAGTGACTTGGTGGCCTGCTCCACTTTATCTTGGCAGCTAGAGCAGTGAAGGGCACGGGGACACACACACTCAAGCACGTTTTCTCTTAAAGACACTCAAAAAAAGACATGAACATACGTTCAGGCTCACACATTTTTTATGTAGATACACACACACACTGCGTACAACATTTATGCTCAAGGACGTCCTGTCTCCATCAGACTCCAATCATGCCCTTTTCTTCTGAACTCCCCCCACCCATGTTCACACATACACCTTCATCTCTCTGTGTTTGATCCCCATTAATGGTTAGCAGGCTCGGGTTAAGCAGTGGTTGGGGGGGGGGGGGTGTCTGTGGTTGCCAGACCTCCTAGCTAAACCTCCTTTTCAGCACTAATGACTAGAGGGGGCAATTCCCTTTTCTCGCCCTCCGTCCTATTCTCGACTTTATCCTCTGCCCTCCATCTATCCCACCATGCCCCCCTCACCAGTGCTTTATAAATCCATGCATTTGCTACTACACTCACACACAGATACACACAGTTACACACGCTCTCTCCCATGTTTCCGTCTAAGCCCAAATTGAGTCCTCCCCTCTCGTCTGCCTTCCACTGATCCCATTCCCATGTTTTTAATGATCTCTCACTATCTCCCTCTCCCTCTCTCACCCTCACAAACAAACACACACACACACACACACACACACACACACACACACACACACACACACACACACACACACACACACACACACACACACACACACACACACACACACACACACAGACGTTGTGACAAGGAGGCAGAGGTGGAAAATTGTGGAATTGAGAGAAGGATGGAAGAAGAATGGAAGCAGGATGAATTTAGGGGTGGTGCTCGGGCTGGTTTGAGTTTGAGCATGGGGGTTGCATAAGGAATGCAAGGATGCTTTCCCCATTTTCTGATGAAACAGATCACATAGCCCTGCTCTCATGCTGCAAATGTGTGTGTGTGTGTGTGTGTGTGTGTGTGTGTGTGTGTGTGTGTGTGTGTGTGTGTGTGTGTGTGTGTGTGTGTGTGTGTGTGTGTGTGTGTGTGTGTGTGTGTGTGTGTGTGTGTGTGTGTGTGTGTGTGTGTGTGTGTGTGTGTGTGTGTGTGTGTGTGTGTGTGTGTGTGTGTGTGTGGGGGGGGCAGCCACTTGCCTGCGGGGGTTCCTTAGACAAGCCAAGCACATTAAGGTGTCACTGGACATATCCACTGATGCGTAGCCCACGACAAGTCCTCCCTTCTCTCCCTCTGTTAAACTCACACTCGCACACAAATGAAGCCCATGTGGTGAGTCAGAGTTAGGGGTGAGGCTCGGTGATTTATGACTCGTTCTGTTCCAGCTATATTCATCACTGTCATTATTATCAATGGAGGATATGACAGCAGGAGAGGGCAGCCTGCTGTGTGTGTGTTTAAGTGGGGTTTGTGTTCTGCTTGTGTGTTTCCAGGATATTATAATCAGTTTCTTTCCCCAGCTGATGTTGTGCTTGTTTCTTACCATGTGCTTGTTGTATACCATTTACACATTTAACTTGTGTAACTGTAAAGATTGCAACAGCTGACATTTCAGGTTCATTATCAGCTTGGATCTATTTAAGTTGTACACACACGCGCGCACACACACAACAATACACGCAATATAACGATCTTAGATTGTGGAGGATTTTAACGTGCTGACGATCTGCCAAAGCAGAGAGATCGTAGAAGCGGGCTGACATGTTTATTTTATCATGCTGCAGTTTATGCTCCGACGCGCGTCTCACCCCCTCCTTTTTGGCTCCGCAGCGGTGAGCCAAAAACTGTTGTTGTGTTGTTGTTGGTGTAAACGAGAACACACTCCCTCTCTAATTAGCAACTTGGTAAAGTTTGCCTTTTAGTTACATTCATTTTACT